ATTCCATTTATTAATGAATCCACGTTCTGCATAAATCCACAGAATTTGCATGGATGGTGCAGGCTGAGAGGCGGGCAAACAGTGAAGATGTGGGGGATCCTTTTTGCAGGATTGCGACTGGCAGGTGGGTGATACATGTGAATATGGCTTGTACTGGCCAAGGCGCATACTGTGCGCGTGTGTGCGTGTGTAAAGTATGCACGTTTTGCGCCCGATAAATTTGAGGTCAGCCTCCATGCCTTCTAGAAGAAACAGAGAACACACCTGACTACAGCAGATTTAGAACAGAGCTGTTCTCAGTCTCTGAGAAGTCCTACAAGAACGAGAGAGGGAGTGGCCATATGAACACACTTCTATAGACAAACTATTAACCAATTTCTGTCTGAACTGTCGATAACATGCACGCAGATCCCACTCAATATTCAAACTATCTTAAACTAAACGCCTGGGATGAAGTCACGTGTTGCTATAATCCAAAGTTGGGATATTAATGTAACATTTCAAACTGATGCAATCAAGTATGTAAAATTTGCTCCATTACCTAGTTGTTGTTTGCTTAGTTTAGTCTTATTTAAACATTTTACAGGCTTATTTTGTCATTTAAAATGTCTTCTTCAAAATATGAAGCTTTTTTGTGGGTCTTTAACAAGTCTGAGAACCAGTCACCTGCCATTAGGCCACAGCGTGACTTTGATGGTGTGGAAAATAAAATAACATTTATGCAAGAACTCAAAACAAAGTCAACATATTAAACACAAACTACTAAACCTATGGTTTGGCAGCTTTAGACATGCTTATAATTAAACATACTTAATGTAAGTAATGGTAAATGGTGGTACCAGTATTTCACAGACCTACACTAACATCAGTGGCTCTGTGTGTGGACATGCTCTCACCTTGGCAGGCTCCTTGCTGGGCTCACTGTACAGGCTGCGTATCCTCCTGCGGTCCACCAACTTGTTGTCAGTGGGGTGAGCCTTCACCTGCTCCCCCTTGAACGTGGCACTGTAGCTGGTTTCCAGACTGGTCCCGTCCTCTGGGGGTTTATACTGAGATGGAGCTTTGATGGCCTTCACTGGTTTCACATCCTTGTATGCCTTGAACTCAGTCCTAAGAACAATGGAAAGTACAAACAGAGTTTTGCTTTATGATTGTTTTCATTATCAATTCATCTGACAATAATTTTCTTGATAAATCGAATATATCTTTGGGTTATTTTTTTGATTAAAGAGGAAAAAGAGCAGCATCAAACCCTCATATCGGAGAAGCTGGAATCAGAGAATGTTTAGCATGTTTGCTTGAAGAGTGAAGAATGAATCAATCATCAAAGTAGTTTCTGATAAATGTAACTAATTGGTTATTGACTAATCATTTCAGCTCTAAATGGTTTAATGTTACTAAAAATGTTAAAAATAAACACTACATGTCTTTCATACTGCCTTGTAGAAAATTAGTCCCAGTTGTGTGGCACATGAGCAGCTATTAAAATGCGGTTTAATACATACTGTTGTCCATGTGGCAGAACTAAATTGGATTGATCATATACAATAAGAGATGTTTGTATTGTTCAAGCGTTGATGTCTCATGTTGACTAATAGATCAGCACCAGGATGTTCAGAGCTCTGCTGCCGATTTATTGCTGAATACAGGATCATGGATCATCACAGGATCATGTTCGCCAATTCATTTCTCCATATTGGCTAACTGTTTTTTTATTTTTAGAATAGATGTTAAAATGTTATCTTTAGATTTACTTTCTAAGCTCTGTAAGAAAAGACATGGCTGGCTTGTGGACTTGTAAACACACCAATTATGGATAATAAGCAGTAGCCTACACATTTTTTATTGTATTCAGAAACTATCAGTGTTCAGTGCTCCACTTCATGAACTTAAGCTACTTGTAAAATTGGCAAAAGATTATTATTATATTTATTATAAGAGATTATTTTTATTGCTATATACTGAAGCAAGTATTATGCTCCTCTGTTTTATCACTAGTAATGGTTATTCTAATGTCTCTGAATAGTTGTAGTTTCCATTCAGTGACTATGAAAGTATTTTAATTGACAAACTCAATTTTAATTGCTAGCTGTAACAGGAAAGCCTGAAATTCTAGTTCTGAAATGTAGCTTTTCAGCTTCTGAGGAACATGGGTTTATGTCTTCTCCCATGTTTCTTTGTTTATTGTGGTACGTGTCTGTGTGTTTCTTCTGCACAACTGCTTCTAATGATTAATCCAGCTTTTCACTAATTTTATGTAATTAGTGATCCTATGTAATAAGATTTATTTTTGTGTGACTGCTCACAAAGCACATTAATAAGTGGCACATTAAGTTTATTAGTCATTAGTCATTTGGAATAAGTCTCTTTAACAAACTAAACAGAAAATGGAGGACACTGGTACAACTCAAGTTAACTTCAGTATTTCAATGGGGCAGACTGAAGCCAGTGAGTCTTGTTAACTTGCATGTATTATGCATCCCCAATTCAATTGGGAGGAAGCCTGTGCAAAGAAACCATGTTAAGACATATGATTCGATTCGATTAGATTAGATAGACCCATTTACTGGCTGAAATCATTCATGGGCTACTGCATTGATTTGGTAGTATTCTTAGGGTGGACAAAGCAGGGGAAAAAATCAATAATGCAGCCTTTAATTGTGGCAATATCAGTTTGCTCTGGAAATGTCGGGATATTGTAACAGGAGACCATGAAATGCCAAATATCCCTTAATGCAGTTTTATGTTTTATCATAGGACAGAGCAGTGTGGCACACAAGGCTACTTCTGCTGTTAGAAATGTTGTGTAGGCTAACAATGGATACTTGGATGCAGCACTGTTGATAACCTCAGAAGTAGCCTATAGGCTAACACTTCATTTGTAACCCACTCTAAAGCCACAGTAAGGCAAAAGAAAACACAGGGCTTAGAATAAGTTAAGAGCAGCCTACATACTGCATGATCATGTCTCGCTCTCTCGCAGGCTTACCTGTAACTGCTGGAAGTGGACATAACCTCCTTTATCTGTCTGTTGAGAGCGTCTGCAGCTGCTCTGCCTTTCCTCTGCTCGGCGCTCGCATCTGCGGGCATCTGCCCGTCCGTCTTTTCGCCCGTTTCTCTCTCTGCTGACTTTTCCCTCTTCACGCTTCTCTTGGTCACCTCCTTAGCTTCCTTCTCCTGCATCTTCTCCTCGATCTCGCTCTTCTCCACTTCAGCCTCGGCCTCGGCGGCCGCGAGCTCCAGCTTGCCGCTCCCGGCTCTCCGCTCGGGCCCGCCGGAGGTGGGGCTAGATTTGGGGATCCAGGGGTGATCATGCTTCTTCGGTATAGGCCAGGGCTTATAATCCTTTTGATACTGAGTTTCGTTATTGAACGGGGCCGCCGAGCGTTGGTACTCATTTCTGGGCTTGCAGCTGGGCTCGGGGCGCACTCTCCACGCCTTGAAGTCTTGGCGCATGACGGACGCAGTAGAGCCATCTTTGCCCGCTGCGGCACCCGTCGCGGGCGGTGCCTTCCCAGCCTCCTGCTCGCCAGGATGGGGCTGGGTTTCTATGGCAATGGCACCGGCCCTTTTCTGCTTCGGCTGCGGGTGATGAAGATGCTGCACGTCGGCCACATCCGAGTATTTGGTGAAAACTAAAGGCACCGCGATGTCCGCTTTGTCCAGCTCGGTCCAAAAGCGGTTGATGCAGCAAGCACGCGTAATGCACGGCCATGCCATGATGATAGCTAAATACTAAGAGGCTGACGAGGAAAAGATACACAGAAAACTCTAAATCAGGGATGAACGAGTAAATAAATGTCCTACTCACGCCTCGAAGACCTGCAAATGCCCGGACCCTCACCCTGTAGGCTACCCTCTGTTTCTGTCCAGTCAGGGTTATTACTCCTTCCAGCTTTATGTAATTCTCTGTTGATTATATCTCACCAATCTTTGCGTGAGTCTAAGGAAGTAGAGCCCCCACGCTTCCCTCTCTCTCTGCAGGCTATTTGTATTGGAAGTTTTAGGTGGACTTTGAGGTGTGCTGTGGAGTGCACGTTGCTGCCTGGTTGCGCATCAAAGCGACCCCACCCACATTTGTGTGATGCTTAAGGGGTCTGCACTGTGAGTTTGCACGGTGAACTCTCACCTGAGCTCGTCACCGTCTGGCCAGCAAAGAGGGAGGAGACACGTTGAGCCCCCGCACTGCCATGTCGGAAAATGCCAACTTCAAACAATACAGCGGCTGTAGGCCTACCAGCAGCCTTTTGTTGTTTCATAGTGGGGAAATGGCCCGAAAATGTTGCAAAAAATTAGATAGAATAATTGAATAAAACAGCGTTACTTGTCCTTTTTCCTTTGTATACGTTTCCGATGTCATTCTCATTTTAAGGTCGTAACTGGATTAAAAAATGAATTAGCTTACATGAAATTTAAAGTATATAGAGTATAATAAAAAGTAACGCTTTGCCACAAAGCTGACTCAGAGAGCCTTAATTATATACAAAGGATTTTATTCAACCAAACTGAAAACAGATTGTGAAAGTTCAGATAAAAATCTTACAAGTTAATGAATAATGCAGCAAAAAAAAAAGAATCATCTTTCCATAAATAATTATCACAACATACAATTACTGCTACATCCAGAGTTATGTCCCAGTTGTTTTTCCTACAAGACAGTAACGGTGACCCGAACGTGTATTTTCGTTGCATCTCAGAATGGTATTGTCCTCCTGTTCAATGCCTTATTTGATCAAGTGCTAATCCAATCAGACTTTACTCTTTAAAGAGGTGAACTTTAAACACACTGGCCTTTTTAAGTATCCAACATGTCACACTAGCAGTATACACCTATTTATAAAAAATGCTTTCCATTGAGCCTGAATAAAGGGATACTGCTGATATTGGTGTAACTGCTCCCTCTTGTGCTCTTCCTGCCTCACAATCAGTGGAAGGGAATCAACAGAGCTGCTCGCCTTCATCATGGGGTTTGAGCTGAAAGCTCACACTAAAGGAACGCGAACAGTAAATGAGCAGTTTATTTCATGTGTGCAGGAAAACACATCTACTGAACTTGACAAATAAAATAAACAAAGGGAAGATAAAAATACTTTCCATAAGGTCACGGCACTGTAAGAGAAAAGGCTAGTCTAATAAATAAAAACAGCCTGACAGAGAACTTCAAATATTTACAGGTGACGTCTTTGATAGCGCCTTACATTTCTGGACACTTTGTGGTGTTGCAATCTTTGCTCACAATTTATTTTTACGTTTTCGTCCTGCCAAATTTGCTTACTTATTTACAATTCAAGATTAAGCTGCGCTGCATTTAAATACAACATTACTTTCACTAAATACAATAATTTTTCCTGGAAAGCTCAGGGACTGAGTACAAATGGCATCTATTAACTCTTTACATCTACATAAAAATGATTAGTACTTATATCAAAGTGTACAAAAATATAAAAGAGCGACCAAAAAGAGGATGTGTTTATGACTGAAAGCATGTCGGTTTCATTCAGTTTTGTCCCATTCAAACAGCTAAATAAGCTCAGGATCTGTGTCATCATTTCATCGCATCTTCCTCAGCCACTTCCTCAGACTCTGCCTCGGGATCATCTTCTGGATAGAGTCTGCAATATTTGTCTACCATGACATCCAAGTCATGTTTGACGTGAGTGTTAATGTTAAGCATTGCAAGACTCTTGTTCCACTGCTTAACAGGCATGTTGCTGAGATAAGCCTGCAGCCGTTCACTCGCTGTGTCACTTCTGTTGTCCTCTAATTTCAGCACTGGCAGGGTGGAAAGCACCTTCAGGAAGGAGTTCACATTGGGAAAGAACTTGACATCTGGCAGCTGAAGGGTTTCATGGATGGTGGTGGGCAGGCGCACCTCTTTGCCCCTGTGCTTCCACTTGATTCTCCAGCAGTGAAGCTCCGCAGGAAGTGTGTCTGGGTTGGGGAGGTCGTCGCGGTAAACATCAGCATAGTTCTCCTCAGTGGTGTTGAACTTCATTTGGCCCATGACGGCTGGGACCAGTGACAGGCACTTGAGAGCTTTGAGGTTGGTCTCAGAGAACATGTCCTCCACCTCTTGCATGATGCCATGGATAACAGGGACAGTCACGTACTCCTTAAAATACGCCTCTGCTTGGATTTCTCCCACGTCAGCTGCACGCTGTTTCCTAAGAAACAGCCTTGGGACCTTCACTGGAATCTCCATTACAGTGGCCACACTTACCGCCTCCTCATACCAGAATTCATGGTAGACATCAATGTTATCATTGACCTCATTTAGTGAATGCAGGACAGCAGTTAGACTGTTGGCAGCGAAAAACACATCGAGTGTTTCCCCTTGCAGATTCCTCCCGAAGGCTCTGGTGAACGTGAGAACATTCTTTAAGATGACAATGGTGACAATGATCTCAAAGTCTGCGATGGTTTCTGCAATTGAATACGCATCTGCTGTGGCAGCGTCAGCAAACTTTCCGTCGTCATTGTCCCGAATGCTGTCCATGCACAGTAGCAGGAGCGGCAACAAATCAAGCAGCACATCAAAGACATTGTGCTGCTCCGTCCATCCCGAGCCACATGCCTGTTTCAGTGTGGTTCCTTTCTCTTCATTTTTCTGGTAGTGAGTAGAAATAGCTTTTTCCAGTTCATTCTGAGCAAACTGGCTTCTAAAGAAAGCGCCAATCCTCCTCAGAGTCTCCATGACTACCTGGACATTGGGAAAAGGCAGGCTGTTGGCCAGGTGGATGTTCAGGGGCATATGAGAGCAAGGCATGTGCAATGCCAGGGGATACTTCTCCATCAGTAATACTGCCACAGCTTTCATCTTGGTGGTGGAAGTCCCAGTGGCCTTGTGGGCCTGACCACGGCAGTCCTCCATGCTAAGCCCCCACCGTTCAGTCAGCTGGGCCTCCATCCTCTCTACCAGTGCAGACTCATCACCATCAAACAGCATAAAGTCCAAGAACTCCTCTCGAAGGACGTTCTGCTGATTCACAAAGCGTAAAAACAGAGGCAGGTGTTTCTCGTTGGCAAAGTCAACAAGGTCACCCGTCACTAGGGAGAAGAAGCGACTCTCTCTCACCTCCATTAGCATCTCCTCTCTCACTGTGTTCTCACAGACGTCCAAGAGCTGGCTCTGCTGGGTTGTGGAGAGGTATTCTGTGTTCACAGCTGTCGCCTCAAACCGCTTCTTCAGAGCTTCATCTCCATTGTTCATGCGGTAATGCACAAGAGCCTGGAAGTTGCTGGACAGGTGCTCAGCTTCAGATGCTTTGTCAGCCACTAATGGGATACTCTGTTTTCCTAACATGACCACAACCTCAAACAAGGACCTCAGGTATTCACGAAACTCCTTCTCCTCTGTGGACAGTTGAGGTTCATCCTCATTGGCGCTTGTGCTATCCTCGACTGTGGCATCTTTTTTGGAAACAAGCTGTTCAATAGAAGATGCCACTTGGGAGAGAGAAGACAGACAAGAAAGGAACAGTGATCATTTTAAGTAAATGGATGAAAATGAACATGCAATTACTTTACATTTATGACTACAAATAAGTTTCCTTTTTACTTACATCTCCTTTCTTTAATCTTCCTTATATCTTCTTCAGTCTAAAATCAAAAAATGAAGTTAATTTACAAAAATCAAACAACGGTTGGTCAAGCTAATAAGCTTAAGAGGTGCATTTAAAAAATCCTGAAAGGTGATCTAACAAAATGTTTCTTACAAGTTCTTTAATCCGCTTGCGATGTCTGGTATGGGGATTTCTTAGATGGCTTGTCAGATCAAATATAGTTGGAATGGCTGTATCCTTCAGTACAGTCCTGTAGGGGCTCTGAAAAGCAATAAACTATAAATAAGCCATTTTTTGGAAATAAGTGAAAACATGCTGCCAGGCTGTTGGCTAGAATTGTGTGTGATACTCACTGTTTTGCACACCATAGCTGGGTCGAAATGTTTGGCACATAATCTGTAGTGCTTGTTCAACTGGTCTGATGTTTTCGCCTCTAGATCTGCCCGGCGGCAGTTCTCTACCCAGATTCGGCATCTAAAACAGACCACAAACCAAATGTATGTGACATTTGACGAACAGTAATGCACTGAGACAGTAGCTATGTGTCTTTTGTAAACGTAGTACGTTGAAATGAGACAGGTGACATGTATAAAAGTGACAACATGCATACTTTTTGAGTGTGGTGTTGACATTATTGGCTCACTACCGTTATACAACACAACAAAAGCTACTCACCAATGTGGTGAAAACAGCTCTTACCACAGCTAAGAATGTGAAGAAATAATTTTTTCCCCTTGATTTATGTAGAAATTTCAGATATGAAAGAGGCCGTGGTGTTTTATAGCTGCAGTGTGTATTTAGGATATAGGTTAGTTTGCATGTTGTAGCCTACTCAAGGGTCTGAATCATAAAATCATCATATAACATATTGTTTGTTTGTTTATTTAAAACGGACAGTGCACATTAAGTTAATCAACATGAGGACTTAAGTCCAATGTGTAAATGTACCAGATTTAGTCATACAGACTAATGTTCATTTGCAGTCCCTGGCAGGTTGATGGCATAACAGAAAACATTAAAACACACACGGGCTCATAAGCACAGAGAAAACAGGAGCATCTTATTGCGTTTTATACGAAGTAACGTTAATGCTTCAGGTTAATGGCTAACGTTAACTGAACAAATGTTATTGTTCATGAATACTGAAGTTTGCCAACGCGAGTAACGATATATACAATGCCTTACCTCTCTGGGTCCCGTGGAAATCGAAAAAATGCCAAATCTGACTGAGTGCTCTTCCGTGTACAGTTCGGGGCCGCGCAAAAATTCGGCATGCTTCAGGCTAGGTAGTTAGCTTAGCTAACAAGGCAGACTATTGTCATCTGCTGACTTAAGCGCTGTAGTTTAGGCACTCGCGTGGACTTTAGGTGATTTCTAACATTGACAGGTAACTTATATGATCTCAAATACTGTCCGATAGGCGGTTCCATCCACAACTATCAAAGAGTGCAGAGTGGACTCACGACACACTCTCAACGGTTGAATTTAGGAGTAGATAATTTTGCAGGACGATGTCCCACCCACAAGACTCCTGATTGGACGTACCCACACTTGGGTGTATAACTATTGGTCAGTTGTGCTACACCGAGCCATTCTATTGACCAATTAAAAGAGAGCAAACGAAACGTTCTTCTTCGTCCTTGAATGTAGTGACAGCAGCTCTTGAAGGTGTGCTGCTGCCATCCACTGACAAATACAAGACAGGAGCTAGCTAACTTAGCTATTCGGTAGGACGAGCAGTTCGATTGTCATTTTATCAAGGTGGTTGATGTACGGCAGTTGCCGTGCCCCGCTTTTGTTGTAGGCCATTAAGTGACCAGATGTCGTGAAAAGAGATAGCTAGCTTTTCTAGAATATAAACCTATTAGTGTTAATCGGTAACGTTAACGCGTTAGCTATGTTGTTCAGTTTATCTTACTCATTCTGTCCAGTTAATATTAGCTAGAAACTTCACTGTGTTCCAGTAAATTCTTAGAGAGAATGCATATTTTTTAAAATGAATAAGTATAAGTAAACACCACAATATATCAATATGAATCACTATCAGCGTAAGTAGTTAAAATAGCTGATAAGGGTATGTGATCTCACGGCTCGTTGGTCTAGGGGTATGATTCTCGCTTAGGGTGCGAGAGGTCCCGGGTTCAAATCCCGGACGAGCCCAAGTTTTTGTTTGTGTCAGCACACATCGGTATGATCAAAGGTTTAGGACCGAAAATAAGGACACTAATTTAGGACACTAACCTCATCTTTGGCCTCAGCAGTTCACGGAGGAAGACCTCACATAGAGACACAACAGAAACATGAAAGTAAAGGTAGGTCGTGGGAGACGATAGCTTTCAACATCCCTTTAGATATTACATGATCTTATACAAGTTATGACTGTAATCCTTCAAGTAAGCGCCCGCAACTAAAATTGCAGGGCTCGTCCGGGATTTGAACCCGGGACCTCTCGCACCCGAAGCGAGAATCATACCCCTAGACCAACGAGCCAGAACGTTAAGTGGAGCCGTCTCTTGTTTTATAAAACGCTACAACACGACTTGGACTTTCTGTTTCCATTCATTTCTCTTCTACACATTAATGTACTTTAGGCACGAAACTATGCCAACCGTACTGCGTGATAGTGTATTTTTTTGGATTATGTATGATTGTTAGGGGTGACGACTGAACACTTCTTCATAAAGATCTGTTGATGGCGTTGTCACAGAACAATAAAGACACACAAAGCAATTCAATTAACTTCTTTTTATATATCATACATAAGACTGTCTTAATATAATACAAAGGGCATTGTCATAAACACAGCAAAGTCTTGACTAGATCTTACAATCTGTGGATACACGAACTTATCCTTTCCCCCATGCTGTTCAATTCTATAGTGCATGTTGCATGTACAAAAAAAGTGAAAAAATGTGAACTCAAAAATGAAAAGGATAATTCCAAATTAAATAAGAGGACTTCAACTTCTGTTGGGTGTTCAGATATGTCAACAAGTATATGTGTTTGTGTATAACCCACAAACTTAACAGGCTTATGAAAGATGGAACCTTTTTTTTTTTTTTTTCCAACCATGTGCTTCTCATATAACCAAAAAGTAAGGTTTGTGATGTACATGCACTTACAATATACCCTGTGAAAATTATTAAGGTTTGAAGATCTAGCTTTCCCTGTTTGATTCAAACCCTACCTCATAGTGTTGTCCTGATGTAGTCAAGTACCTTTGCCAAAAGGCAAGGTTTTGCCACTAAGAAAACAGGAGTTCCTGCCCACTGAATGGTCACCAAATTGACAAACATAATCAACATACCAGCAGGAGCAAGGTAGTGAGTTCTATACTTCCTTTATTAAAAAATATAAATATATACATAAATTCTATTTCAACTATTAAAAAGGGGCTGCATTTCATGACAACTGCTCTAAATAAGAGGTCAATCAGCATGATCTGAAATAGGCGCACACTTACGAGTCACTGCAGTCAATTTTTTTTCTTTTTCAGTCTTTATTTTTGGAATGTTTAGTACCAGTATGAGTGCCAGTAATAAAACCACTGGCAATTTTTAAATGTCTCAAATTCTGCGGGGTATGAAAAATGATTGCAAATTTGCAATTAACCTTGACATCCAGATAAAACCCCAATCTCAATATAGGTAGCTTTACATTTGTGTTTGTGGAAATACCAAGCATGATTTCTTATGATGGTTTCTCCTTTAAAATGGTAACAGCATGACCTGTGGCCTGCCCTTAATTTGAAAGGTGGCTGTGGGCAGGTCTTTGTCTAATTTCAAAGCTGGTAAAATGAGCAACAGAAGAAAGAAAGCACTTCAAAATCCCTGATAGAAAAAAAAATCTGGTTATTGACTAATGTTTTGAGGACATGCATGTCTGCCTGGGCAAAAGCATGTGATTGTGGGCTGACGGACACCCTTTCCCTTTGAATAGGACAACAATCATGGGGGGGGGAGGGGGGGGGGAGATCTGCCCTACCATATCAGAAAAATACCATTCAAGACAAACTGATTTGCCACAATTATCCTTACCCTGCCAAGACAATGACACAAAGTCTTGCTTCACGGCAGAAACTTGCCAAGTTGACCAAATGATGTATGAAAGGCAGCAAAACCCTTTGAAATAGTATGATGGGGGCAAAAGAAAAACGACGACACAGAAAAAGAACGCATTAGTCTCCTTTTTTTTCTCTTTTTTTAAACCATCAGCTTCTATCTTGCTACTCCGGAGCCTGCAGAGTAACTACCAAATTCTCTAACATACCAAAGTTTTTAAAAGACTCCCAAAATAATCTACCAATTAATATGGAAACAGTTTTGGTAAAACGTTGCAAACAAATCTGGCCAGAATACACAATAGCCAACGGTCTCAACAACGGTCTCCAGTTTTGCTAAAGTAATATATTGCAGCTGTTTGTATTGACGTTAAAATAAGATCTTGATAAACTTTGCGTCAAAATGGTGAACTGCTACATTATTGGTTACAGACACCTATATGCTATAAAACAACTGCTTTGGTATAAAAACATATCCAAAGGGAAAATAAATTCTTGTAAAATTCACAGCATAATTTGAGGAGAAAAAAGGCAGTCACTTAACTCATTTTTTTCTTCAGTTTCCATGTTTTGGATGGAGAGACTTGTGCAGGTGGTTCTGATGAGGAACTACATGCAAGGGGGGGAAAATAACAAAACATAAAAGGGTAGACTCTGGAATAGATAGTTCTTTCCACTGCAAAATCCTTAACCAGTGAATAAGATTTTCAAGGAAGTAATGTTTAGGAGGTTGTTGTGTACAATAAGACCCTGTTATGTGGGGCCCTGCTGAAGAAGAAATCTTTGTCGAGAAAGGCCTCAAATTACCATTCTTATTTACCTTTTCTAAGTTGTTTTAATTTCCGTAAAGAATTAAGGGCTGTCTAGAGAGAAAAATAGAGAAAAGCCATCTTAATTCAAATGATAATGTCCAGCTCCATCCCATTCCAAGTCCATGAGTCATAAGGCCAAAGGGTTATCTAGAACCAGCCACTGACTGTCTTCCTTTCACTGGGCTGGATCCTCTTGTCTCCCGTGCCCATCGCTGCTCTCATCTGTGCCGGGCCCGGTTGCAGCTTGTAGGACTACGGGGGCCTCTAGGCCTGAGGGGTGGTGCTTCCCCCTCCTTTGACCCAGTTGGTGTCAGGATCCACCTGCAGGGTCTCCTCTCCACCCGGCCAGCACATATGCTATAGGGATTCCACTGCTATGTGCTCCCCTTTAACAGAGTTACACAATACCGACCAACAACAAGAAATATCACCGCAAACACTTCCCCTCATTGTCAAGCTACAGGATTTACAAGCAGCTTTTTACGAGAAATTTCCGTTTAAAAAAAAAAAAGAGGGCAAAATAATTAAGAACCGGTGGAACAGTAATGTCAGGCAGTCCACGGTTTGAACCGAAAGAGGACGCCAAGCATTTCATCACCAACAGCTACCTGCTAAACAGCTTGAAACTTCACTCTGAAATGCTCCTTAGAAGATTTTGCCACATAATACCATATGGTGATTACTTGGTGGTTACATGAAACTGGTGAAATGGTAAGATGGATGACTCAATCTCACTATGGTTATTCTGCAGTATTATTTTGTGCCTAATGATTGCAAAAGAAAAATGGATGAAAATTACATATATACTTTTTAACAAAGGTTTTTCTCTGTAGTAGCGGTTCAGTGATATCTCCCTTCTGACGTGAGCAGCTTTTGTTCTCAACACACCTTGTAGTAAAAAACACCACCTTAAAAATGACGCACAGGGGGAACACACAGCCAAATGTCAGTGCAGTCACGAGCTGGCCATAGAACTCTGCTGCACACACACTCCAGTCATTGGAGACTCCTCCCGGTCCATGCCCTGCCTCATGCCCAGGTGGCCTTCCGCTAGGTAGTGGGCAGGCCCTGTGTTCGTGCCCATGGAGAATGCAGGGTGCGCTGCCATGCCAGTCTCCTGCCGTGGGTTCGAGAAGGCACCTAGCCCCATGCTCAGCCCACCATTCTGACCAAAGTCAAGGGCTCCAGCGGGCAAATGGCGGAGCTGGTAGGCCTGGTTGCCATGGTTCCCAGTGGAAGAGGATGATGTAGAGGAAGAGGAGGCAGAGGAAGACAGGGAGGTCATGGACAGGTGGCCATGAACCACCTCCATGGAGTCCTGTGTCGAGGAGCTGTGTGTCGGGGAGGTGTAGTGGCGTGGGCGTGGGCGTGTAGCCATCATCGGCCCGTGGTGGTGATGAGTATGTGAGTGGGGATGCAGGGCCTTAGGGTGCTGAGGGGGAACATGGAAGGTGGTCTCCTGGACTGGGTGGGTTTCTCCAGTGACTGACTCTGGTCCAACACCACCACCCCACACCAGTGGGGGTGGGTAAGGCTGTCTTGCCTGTCAATGTCAAACAAAAAGTGTCAGTTGTGGAATACAGCTGCACCATTTTTTTAGGAGCATTAATAAGCATTGCTTAAATGT